CTGCCGTGGGGACGCCGCCCCGTACAGGTGGGTACTGACCAAGGAGGGTACGTAGCCGCCCCGGCAACCGCGCAGGGTTACAGCCGGGCGACTGGTGCTGGGCTGCTGCTCTTGGAGCAGGATCTGGACTGTCCTGCCCACATCGTGTTCCTTGTTCCTTCACCAGCCACCTCTCCGGGACTGGACCGGCCCTTGGGCTCTAAGGCAGCGGCCGTGGAGTTCGCCAACCCGGTGTGAGCGGGCAGCATCCCGCTGCATCGCGACAGGCGCTGCCGGACAGCCTGCTGGAGCTTCAGGCGTTTTCTGGCTCGGTGTTCTCCATCTGAGGGTTAGGGCACCCTCTGCGCCCGCATGTAGGCTAGGTACAGGTATCGGTGGGGTGACCTGTCTGGTGATCTAGAGGGTCAGTGTCCATATGCCGCTGTCGGGAGCATGCTGATAACTGAGCTGGCCTCTTTTAGCGTTGCAATTTGTGTAGGATGAGCTTGACTCATAGCGGGGTCTTTTCATTCAAGACAGTGTGTGGCAACACCCCAGCTTACTCTCTTGGCAGGCAGCAGTGGTCATTCAGTACAGTCATTGGCCTGTACCATTAAATATTATACCCCATTCTTCATTTCCCACATGAGACTTGGAAAGTGCCCATACAACCTGTGTGGACACCACCTTGGGCATGCACCCCACACCCTGCACTCTAACCATGACCAGACCTGGATCAGGGCAGTGACATACCCACCACACCCCTGCTGTCAGATGCAGTCATAAGCCACCTTTGTTGACTTTGGCCATGGCTTAGAATGCTCATCCAGAACCATTCCTGCTGAAAGCTGCAGCATCAGGGCAGCAGCCACTATTGCTCCAGATAGTTGTTGGTGGGAGAGGTGATAAGCCTAACTATTCATCACTGAATGGTTTGGGTTGGAAGAGTCTTTAAAGGTCATCTGGTTCCAGCCCTCCCTCAATGGGCAGGGACACCTCTCACTAGACCAGGTTGCTTAAAACCCTGTTGAAGATGAACTTGGACACTTCCAGCGATAGAGCAATCACAGCTTCTCTGGGCAATATGTTTGAGGCTGTATTACATACCTGGCATGCAGGAGATCCACTTTGCCCTACTGCCTTCAGCTAGGCTTGGGGTGAAGTGACTTCATTCCCTGTTGCTGCTGTTACAGGAGGAATGTAAAAGCCAGGCTGGGGCAGGGTGCTTCCATTCCTCCTGTTGAAGCTAGGCCAGGATGCCATGTGGCAGGATTGAAACTTCATGGCACTTACAAGGAAGAGGAGCATATGCGTCAGAGTGATGACAGAATCAAGTTCATGATTAATAAAGCCCTCATGAAGATAAAGGTTTCCAGAGCTTGTGCCAAACACTGATTCTCTATTACTGAAGGCAGAATTTGAGGTTTTCTCTTCTTTCTGATGTTGCCTGTTGAGAACAGGCAGCTTCTGTCCTACTCTGACATACTCTCATTGCTGTCCCAGACAAGGTTGCACATGTAGTATGATACCTTGGTAGCACAGATTTTGCTACGTGGAGATGGCGCCTGTCAAGTTTTTCCTATGACTGGGGTTACAGGGAGGGCATCTCTAGCTGCTGCCAGCTTCTGAGGCTGTGGAGGCTGATGCAACTCCAGACTGCAGGTGTGTGGAGCCATTCACCTGGCAGGGAAAGCCTTGTGGTAAACAGGGTAGGACTTCTGGCTGAAACTGGTGCTGGGAGGTATGACCTGAAAGGAAGGGAAATGAGAATGTTCTTTGCCTTACCTAAAAGGTCAGGGCCCAATACCCTTCTGCAGCTCTTGTCTCTGAAGCAAAGTCTCCTATGGCTCATTGCCGGAGATCCTAGAAGTTCATCTCTTCTCTGCTGCATGATACAAGAAATCTTTGAATGTTACACCCTGTTCTTACATTTAATTCACAGTTTGAATTCTTCCTTTGCTCTTATTATGCTGAGGTACCACCTTTGCTGAGAGGAAGCAACTTTTTGATTTTAAGCACTTTGAATAACAAAATGGATTTTGTGTTTGTAGTTTTCACGTTCAGGTTATTGGTCTGGCCCGTGTTCTGCAGAACACCTCAGTCTGTGTTGTCATTATTTCAGCACTTTGAGTACAAAGAACCTGTGCAGATAAACAGTCGTCTTAAGGCGGAATTTTCCAAAGGACCCCCCCTCCTCCAACCAAGAACTTTCTAGACACCTACACCAGGACTGAAAGTTCTTAATTTACAGTTCCAGACTCTCTTTCACACAGTCTTCTCTGGGTCCTCAAAAGAATACTGAAGTTCTTTTTCCTTCCTGAGACATGACTTTAAAAGCTGTCAGATCAGTTCCAGGCCATAGTTAAGGTTAGTCTATGCGTTATGCCCCACAAAGAGCTGGATACACCATGGTCCCAGAGATAATGAGATTTACACAAAACTCTGGCTTTGTTTGCAGCTTGGCAGGTGGAGGCTGAACTTAAGCCTGCTGTAACAGCTGTAAGCTGCTCAGGGCTTTGCCAACAGACCTTTGACTCCAGCTGTGTTACACCTAACTTGTCCCTTTCAACATCATCCCTCTGACTAAGGTCAAGCCACAAGCGGCCTAAGAGCTTGCTAATGGCTTCTTGGAGGGTAATAATTTCCCACTATTCCTTTGGAGACCCCCCCATGAGCCATGTTCATCCATGGCCTGGCAGGGACTGTACTCAGCTGCTGGCAGCAGAATACACTGTGTGCTTATCTCCAGTTGCAGCACTTAGCTATGGGTTGTACCTGTCCTATAAATAGGTGAGTGGCTCCTTGTGGTGTGGAGCATCTATTAAAAGATGTATTGATTTCTTTGGGTTTCTGCATGGCTACCTGGCAG